CCTTAAATGGTACGGCAGTTACATTCTGGTGCCTCACTCAGGCGACACATAATATAATATATATATATAGGTAATGATGATAAATGTACAATTAACTACAAACATATTTCATTTTTTTTTCTGAAAAAATCTTAATCTGGTCTCAGTTTTGACTTGGACTCGGGTTGTAGCATGTCTGCCAACTCTCTGCCTGTACAAAGCAAGTGATTTCAGATCTATACATCATACGGATGTGTCACTGTAGTAGGTACTATAGTAGGTAATAAAAAATCATTAAATATCAATCAAGGCATATCTTACCAAACTAAATGTTGTAGTATGTTTGGCAGATCTGTGTCTGTACAACGCAAGTGATTTTAGATCTGTACGTCATATGAGTAGGTCACAGTAGGTATTCATTACAAAGAAAAAAAATTTAAGTTCAACCAAGGCATATCTCACTAGACTAAAGGTTGTAGTATGTTTGTCCGACGTGGCTCTGTGCACTATAAATGATTTTATGTATGTACGTCATTTGGATGAGTCACAGTAGCAATTTATTGTTTATAAAAATTTCATTAAAATTCAACCAAGGCACATCTCAGCAGACTAAAGGTTGTAGTATGTTTGTCAGACGTGTCTCTGTACACTACAAGTAATTTTATGTCTGTACGTCGTAGTAATGTGGCTCAGTAGCACTTTATTGCTTATAAAAATTCTCTATATGCACATGCAGAATGCTTAAACTGCTACAAATATCCATCCATTAAAACTGAGGAAGTTGTTAAAGTTAGTTATTGATTCATGTCTACTCTGTTTTATGTACTTTAATAGATGTACTGAACTGTAATGAGATTTTGCTGCATAGTTGAAACTTTAAAACTGATAAAGCAGAACAAAACATGACCACAAATCAGTTTTTAAATGAGAGGAATAGTAGATGTAGAAGAATTATAAAGAAATTTGAGCAATTGTCAAATCAGGTTTTGTAGTCTAACCTTGATGGCCTTACTGTCAGGAAATCGTGAGTTAAATCCCTTGCGATGCAACAGCCATCCATGGACGGGAAAGCATCTCTCTCTGGGTGGGTAGAGGGTCCTCCCTCTCCCCCACCACCCAGCGAAATCTATTAGCTCATGTAACAGAATTGGCAGTTGGTGTTCTCCTCCAAGCATGTTAAGCTGCATTAGAGGTAAATTGAAAAGATGCGGTGGTGCTAGGCCTGGTCAATATCTAAAAATATTCAGCATGATATTTTCTAATTTAAAAATTGTGGTTATTGATGAATTATATCGCTTTCACAAAATGAATACATGCACTCTGCTGCAGCTTTGACCTTCTTTCTATTCTAATTTTAGTTTTTTTTTTGTACAACTGTTTTAATTAAAATCTTTAATAAAACTATAATTTCACAGTTAAAACATTGTATTTTTATAATATAGAGTTTTTATAATTCAGCAAAGCACAAGGACACTTAAGCTGTACAGAAAATACTGCAAATTTTACTCACACAGTAAGGTTAAGTCACACACAGGGGCGACAGAGTGGAATTTACTCTAGCATTGCCTAATGACTTTAAAAGGCCTCATAATAACCCTATGTTTTAACAGTAAAAATGAATTGTGTATGTATTTTTAAATATTATTTGTTACCTTTTTTCTTATCCTGTTTTTCTGGCTATAGACAGGGCCGGACAAAAGAGGTTGCTCGGTAACAGACATGGTCAGGTGCTAGGTAACAAACATGACAGTTGATGGTCGACTTTGATCGAGGAATTAAGAGTTCCTAACTTAAGATAAGAAAAGATGCTATAAGATAAGATAAGATTCTTAAATTAAGATAATATTTGCTTCTGTAATATGAATTTGTGAAAAATCTTATCTTGACCTGTCAGATCTTAAGTTAAGACTAAAAGATAGGAAGTTTCTGTAATCTGGCCCCTGGTTAGAGTCAAGTTGTTTTACTGCAGTTAGTCACATTGTGTCAGCATTTATTTTCCATTTCATGCACTTCAGCTAAACTTGATGTGAAGTAAAATAAGTAGAAGGTGAAGAGCTTTGGTTATGTAAAACTGGCATTACATAGAGATAACTAACAGACATCTTCTTCACAATCTCACTCTATCTCTGCATCACCATCAGGTTGCTTGTATTACTTGTATTACTTGTAGTGTGAGTAATGTTTGTACTTGTCTATCTGATTACATCACCCTATCGCCCGGGCCTAAGTGCACTTCACTTGTATCAGAGTGGATACTAACTTTTACCCTCCCAGCTTGCTAGCATTGAATTAGGACACATAGCTATCGGGTGGAATTTGCATGAATTTAATTTATAAGAAAAAGTAGGTAAAAAGAGAAAAGGAAAGAAATGAATGTGCTAATCGACCGCATGCTGCAAATCTGGCAGAGACTAGGATTTAAACAGTGGAGTAGTCCCAGAGAAAATTATGTTACTGGTTACATTAGTGATGTATATATGCTATCAATCCTGATGCGTAGCACTGTCATAATAACAGTGCCAAGGTGACATGATTTTGAAATTGACTAGTTTAAACTGCAGAGAGATGTGTGTGGCTGTCCAGTATGTGTATATGCATTGAATGTCCGCTGAGAATGAGTGCAATATAACTACCACACTAACTTTACTACTGACATCTCATTTTTGATTTAACCCTAGAAATCTTCTGTATATGACTGAACAAGTAATGTGACTTCCTCAAGTGATTTCCAACATAAGTCTAATAGTTTAACTTCCTTCTTTCAGAACGTAACTCAAAAAATATCTCCTTACTCAATACAATCCTACTTTTACGCATTGGCAGTCATTGCTATACATAATGCTGTCAATATTTAAAGGTGAATTTAGACCTAAAACTAGCATTTAATATGTTATTTGTCTTATGTAATACTCTACAGTGCAGTATTTTATCCATCAGCTTCATCAGTTTGAAAGAATTAATGATTTTGTATACTTTTTGTGTTTCCAGCCATCAGTGTTCTCTCACTATAGTACCCAGCATGTTACTGATGTAGAAGCTAATAAATACAGACATGGTGTTTAGCGTCCTAACAGTATCGTTAGCCTTCCAGCACAAAAAATCCCTCCCAAAAGTTGTAGTTTTGTAATTTTCTTCCACCTTCAAGATATATCATCAGAAGAGGGTTTTCCTAGTCTTTAAAGAGGAAAATCTCACTCTGGACTCTACTGTGGCCTGGCTGCAGAAGGTGAGTATGTATTTTCACAATAGACAAAGCAATGGCTAAAGTTTTCATTTTGGCCAGACTGCCCCTTTAAGCTGGCAACAATTATTTTCTACAGTTGTTAGCTTTCACAGTCATATGCGTACAGAACACAACAGAGGGTGAATTAGGTTTGTCAGATAGAGGCAAATGTATGAAAATAAAAGAAAATGCGATTTCCTTATGTTGGAAGTCATGTAACTTGTTCAGTCATATACAGGAGATTTTAATGGTTAAAACCAAAATGAAACATCAGTAGTAAAGTCAGTTCAGTAGTTGTATTACACTCACTCAGTGCACGTACACATACTGGACAGCCGTCTCTGTACAGTTTAAACTAGTCAATTTCAAAATCATGTCACCTTGGCACTGTTATCATGACAGCCCTACATCCTAATCTCTGCCACTTCTGCAGCATGTGGTCGATCTTTACCCAATTTTTCACAAATTTTACACAAATTCCACCTCATAGCTAGGTGTCCTAATTTATTGCTATCAAGCTAGGAGGGTAAAAGTTAGCATCCATTCTGAGACAAGTAAAGTACAACAGTGACCTGTTGGCAATGCAGAGATAGAGAGAGATTGTTAACATGCTGCCTGTAATTTATCTCACTGTAATGCCAGTTTTCCCTAACCCACGGCTCTTTACCTTCTACTTATTTTACTTCATGTTAAGCTTAGCTGAAGTGCATGGAGTAGCTAAGTTAACTGGGAGAAAAAGTTTCTGTTTTTTCTGGCCCTGCCTATAACTGGAAAAACAGGATCAGAAAGAGGTAACAAATAATATTAAAAAATATGTACACAATGTTTTATTCACTTCTACTGTTAGAACATAGGGTTATCATTAGACGTTTAAAAGTCTTTAGGTAATGCTAGAGTAAATTCCCCTCTATCTCTGCTGTGTGACTCAACCTTAGTGTCTGAGTAAAATTTGCAGTGTTTTCTGTCCAGCTTAAGTGACCTGCTGCTTAGTTGAATTCTAAAACTCTGCAAACTATGAAATTATAATACTACATTATAACTGTGAAATTATAATATTATCAACGCATCTATAGCTGAACCCCAGAGTGACTCCACTAGGTGTCGGAAAAGACCGTTTTTATTTTTTTTTGGTAACATACATAAGCACAGTTTTGGAAACTGCTTGCAGTCTGAAGTTTCTTCAGGAGGGAGTGCTATTACCACACAAGTTGCAATGAACCTGCACCAGAAGGAGTTCATGAACACAGCAACAGCCAATAAAAGGACAGATAGTTTTCAAAAGATGTTGAGTTATTGAGTATTATAATATTTAATGTATTTATTTAATTAATATGTATTAATCCTAAAAATACAAACTAAAATCATAATAGAAAATAGAAAATATCATGTTAAATATTTTTAGATATCAACCAGGCCTAGCACCACCACATCTTTTAATTGGGCCACTAACAGGGCTCAGCGCGCTTAGAGAACACCAACTGACAATTTTGTTACATCAACTAACAGATGCTCGTGTTGGCCAGCATTGTGCTGGGTGGTGGGGGAGAGGGACGACCATTCTACCCACCCAAGAGAGAGTGAGGACAATAATGATTTACTGGATTACACAGCATTCTGAATGGATTCTCTATTGAAAGGAAAATGTAGTCCAAAACTATGCTTAATTCCTGACACCAAACCTACACGTCCACATCAGACAGGTTGCTTGTAATGCTACAGATTAATTGTGCTTGTAATGTTAAGAGACAAACCATTCATACAGATTTTCTTTATTATTCTTTTTCATCAGTCATATTACATTTTCGTCAGTTTTTAGGTTTATCGGCATTCAAGTTTCAACTATGCAGCAAAATTTCCATTACAATTCAGTACATCTATTAAAACATATAAAACAGAGCAGCCACTTTCACTGGATGAGTTATATATTGTACCTAATACATTAAATAAGTAGAATGCCATACTGCATTTAAAAAAATAAGTTGATTTGACATTTGCATAATCAAAATTTAATGTTATTCAAAACAAAACACTGTACAAGCTATGAATAAAATCCCTTTGAGTGCTCTCAAGAGCAGATTTATAAAACGTTTGATCACACTGTGATGGATTTGCTGAGAATCTTGGATTAAATACCTGAGGAATGTATGCTGTACAATTACAGCACAATACAGTACTTCAGACTTTAAACCAATGTGAAAATATCACAGTAGTCATTAACACAGTGATGTTCATTCAGTTCTTCACTCTTTTTTGCTCTTTGCTGAGGTCCTTCTGCAACATTTACGGAAGAACCAAGCACACGTTTTCACAAAGATGAACGTGACCAGAGCGACTATGGACAGCAAAAAGGCAGCGACGTCCAGGCAGTGGTACTGGTACCAAGTGAGGTCATGGGCCGCCACCCTCAGGTGCTTGGCCCCCTTGTTGTTCATCACAAACTCGATCCAGAAGACAGCCTGGTCCAGCGGCTTCATCGGCTGATCATGGTGGATTCGGGAAAGCCTCATGATGCTCTCTTTGTACCTGACAGAAGAAATGAAGTGAAACTGTGTATGTCAAGTAAACAGAGATGTATTAAGCTTTTTGTGCCAGTTTTAGGGGCAAATCAGATGCGTTCAGACAGGGTGTTATGTACAAAACACAATCCTGAACACACAGTTTATGGGCCAGAGTGTGGTAAAACCCACAATGCACCTCTCTCTCATATGCATATGCATTTGAAGGGGAATCGTGCAAAATGTGGGAGCATCAGGCAAGTACAATTACTCTTTATTTGCTGAGTTTAACATACTGTAAAAAAAATTAAACGTGGCCTGTGCAAAAAAAAGAGGAACGTGTTAACTTACTTTCATTTAGAAAATCAACAAAATGTCAGCTTAGCAGGATGGCCCAAATTTTTTCATACAAGTTTGCCAATCAAAAACGGGGTTAAACATATATATTGTATTGCTGAGGAGATCAAAATAAAAAGTTCATAAATAGTATTCAGGGACTTTTACAGCCTTAAACCACTGTTTTTTCTACTAAAGGCATTTAAGGAAAATACAAGATCAACTTACGACGGATTATTAATAACTTCGATGAGACCGTCCTTCAGGTCTTTGGTCTCCATTTTGTTGAATTCAAGCAAAACAGCTGCTCCTTTGGTTTTCATGTGGAACAGATTATCTGACTGGTCACCAAACAGTGGAATACCCACCACTGGGACACCATGATAAATAGCTTCATAAAGACCATTAGTCCCACCATGAGTGATGAAGGCCTTGGTTTTAGGATGTCCTATCAGAGACAGATCATTAGAAATCATCACTACAACAAACTATTATAGTATATACAAGACCAAAAAACAGTGTATATTAAGGTTCCATGGATTTGCTGGCATCGACAATAACATCTATTTAAATGGTGTCTACAAAAACCACGTTCAGGAATGTAACACCATTCTGAACAACCAAACACACCATCAGATGCTACATCGAAAAAATGTTCAAAGAGAACTTAGTCAACGCTTGGAGAAGGACGTGTTTTCTGAGGTTGTGAGTGAATGATTTACTATTATCATCATATCTTCATCAGTGTAATGTTGATTTTGTATTTGAGGCCTAAACATTGAGCCAGACCTTCTTTTTGAGCCTGTGTGTGACATTAATATGTAAAGACATATGATGTGGTTCAAAAAACCCCCATGAAATCTGACCTCTGACTTTTAAATTATTATTTCAGACTTTGCAGGGCAACTCGCTGCAGCACACACACCATATTTTGGAGTGTATTTTCCTCTTTGCTTAGTAATGCTAATTTTTTCAATTTTTTTCACTTTATTCCAAAGAAAATCGTGCATAGTGCACCTTTAAAATTAGTATCGGTATCTCTGAAAACATTGTCATGTTGGCTGGCCACTAAAAGACACTTAAATGACAAAACTGTACCTTACCTAGTAAGTCATTCTGGGGAATCCAGTCATAGAGTCTTGTGTTTGGAGCAAGAGTGTCTGGTTTCTCTCCCATATACCGCCACAAGACCTGTAATTAAACACAGAATTCTGAAAAATGAACACAAAAACTTCTTTTTTCCCCATAAAGAATATAAGATTAAACTACTCTATGGATATGCTATGGATGGCACTTTGCTTACAATATTTAAGGGGATAGTATTTGTAGAGTGCACTACCAAACTAGAATCAGATATTTTATGAACAAGACAATGAACACTACAGTGAAATCAAATATCAAATATCTGCAGGGTTGCTTGTTTGACTATTTCTAATTTTCATGGAGAATAAACACCAGCTGGATTCAACATGAATCAGCCTCATGTCAAGATGGCTTGTAGACCATCAGACAACTGGAATATTGATTTTCTATTTACAGATATAAACATTTCATAGTGTAATCTCAGACCTTCTGTGGGATCTGCCCGAGTGCTGAAGCGATGATGTTGGCTCTCTCTTTGGTGAGGCTTTTCACCATGGAGCCCAGGGAAAACACCACAATGCCATCATCCCCTGAGCTCTGAACAAACTCCTCCATCTCCTACAAAACCAAAAAGCAAAGACAGATACATGTTAGTTCTATGATCGTGTTCCTCAGGAAGCTGATTTAAATGCAACAGAAGTGAATAGTGACATCCAGCTGCAGCCACACAGACCAAGCCTTAGCCGTCTGGCTAGAGTGTTGGTGAGGCAGCTCACATTAATGTTAGTGTGACAAATAAATTGTTTCAAAAAAGGAACATCCTAAGGAGAAAATCAATCCTGTCCCAGACTGCTTACTTGCTTTCTGCAGTACCAGCAGATAAACTCTGATAGATAAAACCTGTAGTAAGGTTTAGGGTCAGGCACTAAACATTCTGTGTCAATTCTTAATGTGTCACTCAAGCATGCAAATGTTCAAAAGACGTCCTGACAGCCATAACGGTGATCTTACCTTTGGAAGTGGCTTTGCAGGCTTGCAGTGCAGCCCCCCGACAAATTTGAAGTTCGGCAGGAGTGGTCTTGGATACTCAAAGTCCCAGTAACTTCTGATTAACCAGATGTCTGTTTTTCCCAAAGTTTCACACATTGTTGTGGGTTTGCCTATGAAGTAAAGGAGCAAAGATGATGTGATACTAGATCAATCATATTACACTGGAAGATAGCAGCGAACAATGCTGAAATTCAAACTTTGAATTTTGACATAAAAACTGACATTACCAATCACAGGAGCTGGACCTCAGCCGATGCTACAGGCTGGTATATTAAGGGTTGATTTCTGGACAGGGATTAAGCCTAGTCCTGGACTACATTTTTCTTTCAGTAGATAATCCCCATCAATGATGCTGTGTAGTCTAAGACTAGACTTAATATCTCTCCAGGAAAACAACACTGTGTCAGTGCCTACAAAAACACGTGTTCTGTCCTTCTGAGATTTAAGTTATGCAAGGTCATTCATACAGTTGATCCTGATGAGGGCACTGAGGTGTCAGTTGGTGCTCAAAAAAAACCTAGGTACAAAAGAAAAGAGGCCTTAGTGCTGCCTTACCTGTTATGTTGGTGTAATACTTATCAAACGTGAACATCATTGACAGTTTGTATATCGCTGTGAAAGCAACATACAACAGCACATTCTCCACCCGCTCTATGAAGTTCATGTGGTCAGTGAGATGTCCTTGGGTGGCAGCAGCGGGCACATACGACGGTGGTGTTGGCAACTGACCGCACAATCTCTCCATACTGTATGCAAAATGCAGTCTTAAAGACATCACCCGGGGCAGGTCGAGGATCTCTGCCAATAGATCAGTGCATGGCGTCACAGGATCGTATAGAAGTACATCAAAGTGTGATGCCCTGAGTGAAGCTATGAGCTCTTGATTGAGCAGCATCCCGTCACATATTGATCTGCCATATCTCTCAATTTCAGAAATCACGTTCCAAAACAACAACAAAGTCTCAATCCTGATGACGGTCTGGTTCATCGAAGAGTTAATATAGTTCTTCCACATATTCACTGCATCTTGTTTTTCTATGTTGATCTCAAAAATAATGTATTTTAAGTTCTCTTTTTCCGTGTAGTTGACCGAAGATGACGCTGAGTGGACCAGAACAGTCACACTGTGATTCCGAGCGACCAGCTCATCCACGATTACGCGCATGTTGTACCAGTGACTGTATTCACCGGGGACCACCAGTACGTTACCACTGAGAGTCATTTCAGACCCGCTCAGTATCAAAGCTACCAACGGGAGAAGATGTCTGTATATCATGGTAGTAAAGTAACTGACAGCTCGACTACTTGTTGGCTCCACCGTCCAGCCACAGCCCTGACAACCGAATCAATGAACTCAGGTTTAGGACACACTGAACTGGAACAAAGAGGGCGGGCGGAGCGGTAAACTCGGACTGATGTTTCTTATTCAGCGGATATCCGCGTTTCGCCGCTCCTCTTGCTCACAACGTCCTAAAATCTCTGAAATTGCATTTTCTAAGTCGCGATGAAACAGAGAACAAACTATAACCATTATATTCTGTCAAAGTTCCCGATCTTTCCATTTCATCGAGTACATTTGATCAAAGCAGCCGGTATCACCACAGCAGGCGCTAAAGGGGATGAGGGACCGTCTAAAAAGTTCAGCTACTGTTTCAAAACGTACAACATTCACAGCGATATATATATTTTGGATATATATATATATATTAGCAGTTTAGGCATTCTGCACGTGCATTTACGGATTTTTTTTAGTCAATAAACTACTACTGTTACTACTACACATGCATATGACATACAGATCTAAAGTCACTAATGTACAGAGACATGTCTGACAAACGTGAGATATGCCTTCGTTGAGTTTCAATGATTATTTTCTAAAAATAAAATAAATAAACATCTAACAGGCTTTATACAGATGGGATCTTGAAAGCTAGACCAAACTCTATGAAGATGATATAGGCCATCTGAGGATCTCTACTGTCATATGTACAGTGCTGCAGTGATCACTAAGTAAATGAATGAGTGATTCATCATTTGTGAGGAAAACTTCCCAATTTTCACACTTGTGACCTGTTTCCAAAACTGATTAACTCACATAAAGTATTGTGGAAAAGTTTAAGCCACCTAAGAAAATTCTCTATCGAAAGCTATTTAATTGGGCAGTAAGAGATGATTTGCTTAGGAAAACACTTACATTAGAATACATACAAATAATATTAATAAAATACATATGGAGTGTCCCAATACCCAGAGAGCTCTCTTAGTAGCCGCTGTCTTCATAGGCAGCTGTCTAAGCGTCATCTAACCTTATAAGACATAAAGAAGGCGAATTTACCCATTTACTGTTAACACCTGTGTTCTAATAATGTGTCCTATTCCTACTGAGCATGCGCATGTCATTGCTATAGTGTTGTAACTTCATGTTTCAAAAGTTTTGTGTTTTTAATGTTAATTCAGTACAGACTCAGTTTAACATTATTACTTACTCCCTGATAAGGTGATTTAGGAGATCAAAGTGTCCGACTACTCAGTTGTGATTTTGAAGTTAGGAGCAGAGAAAACATGAAAAAAATGGTAAGGCTTCGTGTTCACATGTGTAAACATACTGCGGGCTGTGGATAGGGTTAAGTCTCGTTTCATTCGTTTCATTTCAGCTTGTTTTTTTAACAAGCTCTCAGTTTTATTTACCTAGATAACTGTCTTCCTCGCCTCTCGCTCACTGATCAAACTCCTCAAATTCTGCCTCACGGACGCTGCGAAGGACGCGCTCTACCAAGCAACGGTCCTCTAAATGAGACCCACTGCATAAACTAGGTCTCGACCTCATTTGGACTCGGTCTTGTCTCGGTCTCGGGGTGAGGTCGGCTCGGAAATTGTTGTCTGATGCCTCCATTTCAGTTTTGTAACTGTTAACTTAGCTCGTCGCTCGGGTGTGTCAGAGTCAGCACTAACCGGTGCTCTGGCGAACTGTGCTACCTTGTCAAAATGTCCAACCGTAGCACATATTTACAGGTAGAGCTCTACATAAAACTGTAGGTAGGATATTTTTTCTGCCTTAAATGGTGCAGCAGTTACATTCTGCTGCCTCAGGCCACTGAGGCATTCAGGCAGCATTTAAGGTGGAACTCCTTATCAGGAAATATTACCAGCCTTAATAGAAGAATAATGTAACTGAGAGCTGAGATTCACTGCTTATTGCATTGTTTACAAATCCTTTGATAGAGCATCATTAATTGTTAATACTCTCTGGCCATTTCCCGCTTTATTTATAACTATTTTAATTATTTCATGTGTCTGTGTAATGTTACTGACTTCTCCCTACATCAGTCGTAGTTACAGATTATTATTACTGTATGTAATGTTTTCATTTAATGATAAAATGGATGTAGTTTATGTTCATTTGACTTTAGATGGTGATTCTGAATAAGTTGTAGAGAAGAAAGGAGCATAGAATTAGCTCCCCACTGCTTCCAGTTACAATGCAAAGTTTGACTAAGTCTATAACATAAGACTATAATATAATAATAATTAATCATGTTTTATGCTGTATATTATTTAGTTATATTTCACAAAATATAAAATGTAACATTATGTATTAATCATGATAATGAAAATACAATACACTACAAATTCATTTCATTTATGTATATATGAATTTTTTATTTTGAAAAAAAAAAAATCTGGCCTTAGTCTTGGTCTAGGTCTCTGCCACAACTCAGACTGGATTACTAAAAGTCTTGGTCTTGACTTGGACACAATGTATCCCAGTCTTGGTCTTCACTACAACAGTAGTAATTAGTCAGGTGATGATGATTTGGAAAAAAATCCCTTTAAGTGAAGTCGAGAACAGTGAAAATGATTTAGAAAACGTGTTCAAATATAGTGTCGTGGAATTGCTGAGAATCTAGGATTAAATAGCAAAAAACCTGAGGAATGTATGCTGTACATTTACAGTAGAATACAGCAATTCAGACTTTAAACCAATGTGAAAATATCACAGTAGTCATTAACACAGTGATGTTCATTCAGTTCTTCACTCTTTTTTGCTCTTTGCTGAGGTCCTTCTGCAACATTTACGGAAGAGCCAAGCACACGATTTCACAAAGATGAACATGACCAGAGCGACTATGGACAGCAAAAAGGCAGCGACGTCCAGGCAGTGGTACTGGTACCAAGTGAGGTCATGGGCCGCCACCCTCAGTTGTTCATCACAAACTCGATCCAGAAGACAGCCTTGTCCAGCGGCTTCATCGGCTGATCATGGTGGATTCGGGAAAGCCTCATGATGCTCTCTTTGTACCTGAGAGAAGAAATTAAGGTAAACTGTGTGTCAAGTGGACAGAGAGGTATTAAGCTTTTGCGCCTGTTTTAGGGGCAAATCAGATGCGTTCAGACAGGGTGTTATGTACAAAACACAATCCTGAACACTAAGTTTATGGGTCAGCGTGGAAAAACACAAAATGCACATTTCTCTCATATGCATGTGCGTTTGAAGGAGGATCAGGTAAAAAATGGGTGGAGCTATTTAAAGTGCATGCTTGGTCTACTTAATTTTGAGCAACTGGTGGCAACTGTTTTTTTTTATACATTATATACAATATATATTATATACATTATTCTCTGCCACTTAAACTAGGCACAAATTAGCAGTAGCATCTCAAAGACATGCTGTTGAAACACTTCCTTTAAAAACAAGTGACACAAGCCTCCAAGGTGAGCTGTAAGAATATTTACTAATTAAGTTATTTCAGCTCTCAGGATCAGATTTATATGCTGTTTATGAGAACGTTTTGGCGTCGCTTTTGTAGTTACATGTTTTGTTGATTCTCTAAGTGAACATAAGTCAACACATCCTCTACAGAGAACACATTTTAATGTACAATTTTTGTTTATTTGCTGAGTTAAACATATTGTGATACAATTAAAACATTAAATGCGACCAGTGCAAAAAACAAACTTAAATATGGGATGTTTATCCGCAAATGTTACTCCACAATTTCTACTTATTCACTGAGGTTGGCATATTGGGGAAAAAATGCAATAAATTTAAATGTCTTTACTTTTGCACAGGCCACATTTTAAGTTTATATGTTATATTCAGAAAATAACGAGTGATTATGCATTAAAATGTGCAGAAAGGTGTTCTCTGTAGAGGGTGTGTTAACTTATTTTCATTTAGAAAATCAACAAAATGTCAAAACTTGCTAATTAAAAATGGGGTTAAATAAATTTACTGCATTGCTGAAGAGGTTAAAATTCAAATTTCATAAATAATATTCAAGGACGTTTATAGCCTTAAACCACTGTTTTTTTCTACTCGAGGCATTTTTTAATGTTGCTATGAAATGTCATTTCATTTGCCTCAACATGAGGGAGTTACAGTACTTTTAAGTTTACACTGAGCACCCTTAAAATAATCTCCATCTTAAAGCATCTGCGTTTAAGGAAAATACAAGATCAACTCACAACGGATTGTTAATAACTTCGGTGAGAGCGTCCTTCAGGTCTTTGCTCTCCATTTTGTTGAATTCAAGTATAGCAGCGGCTCCTTTAGTTTTCATGTGGAACAGATTATCTGACTGGTCACCAAACAGTGGAATGCCCACCATTGGGACACCATGATAAATACTTTCATAAAGTCCATTAATCCCACCATGAGTGATGAAGGCCTTGGTTTTAGGATGTCCTATCAGAGACAAATCATTAGAAATCATCACTACAACAAAAAAAACTGCCTATATTAAGGTTCCATGGATTTTCTGGAATGGGAGATAACATCTATTTAAATGTTTTCTACAAAAACCATATTGAGGAATGTAACACCATTTTGAACAACCAAACACCATCAGATGCTAAGGTAATCTTTTATTTTGAGTATTCATATTGTTTGCCTAGATGGCTTGTTCTTTATTTATACAATTTAAGACATTTCCCCTGCTTTGGTCCAGCTGATTATTTGAGATATTGAGTGAAAACTGACAATTATATTTGACAAGTAACAGTTGGCAAGCATATCAGTCAGTAAAGCACTACACACAGCATTGAAAATATTGAAATCTGTTTCATTTCTATCATATAACATTATGTTGGTCCATACAGGACAAATCAGTATTATGTCAAGACAACAATGAACCAGATAACTCCAGCAGCATTGCATTGGTACAACAAACTTATGAGTAATACTGGAAAAACAGAATGTTTTCGATTATATTATGAATATATTGTATGGTGACTTTTGTATTTGAATATTAATAAAAATTGCACTCAAAGCTGCACTTTACAGATTTGGGGAATTTGTAATTTTTAAATATGCTATTGCACATGACATGTGGGAGAAGATTTTGTAATTCCGAAGTGTTGAATCTGATGATTGTAAGCACATTGAAAGAGTATTCAAAGAGAACTTGGAGAAGTACGTGTCGTCTGAGGTTGTAAGTGATTTATCTGCTATTGTTATCATGTCTTCATTTGAGACCCAAACATCGAGTTGGAGCTTCTTTTTGAGCATGTGTGTGTGACATTAAAACGTATGACCCCCACAAAATCCGACCCGACACCTCTGACTTTTCAATTATTATTCCAGGCTTTACAGGGCAACTCGCAGTAGGACATGCACACCATATTTTAGTGTGATTTTTCCTCTTCACTTAGTAATGCTAATTTTTTCCGTATACCGCCACAAGACCTGTAATTCAAATCAGAATTCTGAAAAATGAACACAAAAACTTTTTTTTTTCCATAAAAATTATAAGATTAACCTGATCTATGAATGGCACTTTGCTTACAACATTCAAGGTGATAGTACTTGTAAAGCACGCTACCAAACTAGTATCAGATATTTTATGGACGGGGCAAAGGACACTACAATAAATCAAATACCTGCAGGGTTGTTTGTCTAGTCTATTTATAGTTTTTTATGGGGAATAAAGACAGGACTTAACATGAATCAACCTCTTATCAAGATGGCTTGTAGACCTTGAGACGGCTGGAATATTGATTTTCTTTTTGCAGATATAAACATTTCATAGTGTAATCTCAGACCTTTTGTGGGATCTGCCTGAGTGCTGAAGTGATGGTGTTGGCTCTCTCTTTGGTGAGGTTCACACAATGCCATCATCCCCTGAGCTCTGAACAAACTCCTCCATCTCCTACAAAACCAAACGCAAAGGCGAATACGTGTTAGTCTTCTGATTGTGTTCCACAAGAAGCTGATTTAAATGCAACAGAAGTGGATACTGACAGCCAGTGGCAGCACCACAGACCAAGCCTCAGGCTGGGCAGAGGTTGGCCAACTGGCTGGCAAGCTACTTAATTTAGCTGGCTGGCTAAAGTGTTGGTGAAGGTTAAAAGTTCTTCAGCACAAATAAATTGTTTCAGTTTTTTTTCTGATGAGAAAATCTACCCTGTTCCAGACTGCTTACTTGCCTTCTGCAGTACCAGCAGATAAAGTCTGTGAGGTAATAATCTGTAGTAAGGTTTAGGGTCAGACACTAAACCTTTGTACATTCAATCATTTTCCCAATTCTGTGTCAATTCTTAATGTGTCACTCAAGCATGCAAACGTTCAAAAGACGTCCTGACAGCTATAACGGTGATCTTACTTTTGGAAGTGGCTTTGCAGGCTTGCAGTGCAGCCCCCTGACAAATTTGAAGTTCGGCAGGATCGGTCGTGGATACTCAAAGTCCCAGTAAGTTCTGACTAACCAGATGTCTGTTTTTCCCATAGTGTAACACACTGTTGTGGGTTTGCCTGTGAAGTAAAGGAGCAAAGATGATGTGATACTAGATCAGTTTCGTGTATAGTTACTTAAATGTTTCACATAAAATGTTAGAAAAGTGAAGCTATTTTTTCTGCTCCTGTTTTCCTAGTACACTGGAAGATAGCAGCGAATGATGCTGAAATTCAAACTTTTTCAGCACCAACATGAGCTACGAGCACAAAGTAAAACATTACAAAAACAAAAGGTTTTGCTGCTCCAAAATCAAATTAGGGCTTTTAACTTTGTTAGAGAACAGGTAAAGAGATTAAAAGACCCAACAATATTCAACTAAAACTTTAAATAGATTAGGAAAGTGCTTAACCACACAAGCAAAGCACTTCTACTTACTTTTAAAGTTATGATTCACTAATGGTATGCATGACTAAGTCACTGGAGTCCAGTCGTGTTTCGCAGAGTGTGGCTGCAGGTTTTCATGATTGTTTTTCCTGATTAAGATTAATCAGGTGAGCTCCTGCTTGTTTCCAGTGAAAATCTGCAGCTAAAGCCGCCCTTTATGGATAAGATTGGACAGGCCTGATCTAAATGGTGAACCAACACCCTAACTTTCTTACTTCGTAGCTGACAAAGCAGAGTTTTTCTCCCTGGTGAACAGCCTCTCTCTTAATATAAGCCTTTTTGAAGGCTTTGAGCACTGATCTGGTCCTTACTATTTAGCAACTTACAGAAAACACCATATAGCCCTCATTATTCTACTAAATTATTCAAGAAACACAAGAATGGGTCAACAATTAGATAACGTTTGACAAAACCAAGCACTAGTTAAGCTACTTGGTTATTAGTCAGCAAGTTTGTTAGCCAGCTGGCTATTTAAAACAGTAACGGATTTTGAGACTTCACTGTCATAGTCACTGACTGACCTAAATTGCAAACCATAGGCTATTTGTGCACCTTTGTGACAAGAAAATGAATAAAATACCACAGAAAATCAGAATAACTTACATTTAAAGATGACTTCATCACTTGCTGGGCTGTGTGACTCACTGCTTCTGCCTGGCATTTTCAAACAAAAGTTACAGCGTGTTGCATCACAGGATTGTCTTAGCGGCTGAGGAAGCATTTGGTGCCCTCTTGATTTATTGATTTATTGATCATTGGAACATTATTCAAAATTATACTTTGATACATATTTAGGTTCCCTGGGACCTCAAGCTAAAAATAAACAAATATTACTCACCGCCTCCCTCTAAAGATATTATTAACAAACATCAAATAAATAAACGAGAGAAAACTGTGCTGAACAGCTGAAAGCAGCTCACTTTTCCATAACATGTGGGAGAAAACACAGCAGAGAAAGTAGTAGAGTTATTTTAGGCCCGCTTAGCAGCAAAGCTACAACGGGAGAAGGTGTCTGTATATCATGGTAGCATCATTGAAATGACTGAATTGAGGTTTAGGTCACACTGAACTGGGACAAAGGGAGCAGGACGGAGCTCAATAGTGTTATGCATGTGTCACATATTCAGCTGATATCCGCGTTTCGCCCCTCCTCTCGCTCACTAACAACTTCCTAAAATCTATGAAATAACATTTTGTAAGTCGTGGTGAAACAGAAAACAAACTATCATCATTATATTCTGTCAAAGTTTCTGATTTTTCAGTTTGGTCCAGTACATTTGATCAAAAGTAGCTTCATCTTACTGTGTCTGCGTGGGTTTCCTCTGGGTGCTCTGGTTTCCTCCCACAGTCCAAAGACATGCAGTCAGGTAAATTGGAATGAAACTTGCAAGGTATAGAGACATTTTCCACAAACTTTCCAACCTGCAGGCCAATGCATGTTCTGTCCATTAAATGGGAACTCCTCACCACAACCTCTATGATCCCACGCAGATGAATTAGCCGCATTTAGCACAAACACCACAAACAGATTGACCATCTGTATTCAACAAATTCAGCTGAGCAGGGCTGTAAAGGCTGTGGTGAACAATTTAAAGTTAATAAGCTCAATGTGCACAAATGATGAAAACTAGAAATGACTGATTAATTTACTTTTCTATAATTGAAGCTCTCCAAATACAATGAGAAAGATCTCCAGGCCTTTCTTCTTCCTTGAGAATGCAGTCTTGTCTGCAGGAGAGGATGACAATCCAGCCCCGTTGGCAGTTAAGGATATCATCGCAGCCCAAGGCCTTCAACACAGACCTATTGGCAGCTGTTCCTTTCCAGGTCTAGGGCAGCTCCGATGGTAGCTCCAAGTTGTAGTATTGTTGTAGTATGTTTGTCAGATGTGTCTCTGTACATTACAAGTGACATTAGAATTATACATACTGTGATGTGTCACGGTAGTAATTTAAGGCTTAAAAAAATTCCCTACATGGACGTGCAGAATGCCTGAACTGCTAAAAAAAATATCCATCCATTAAAAATGAGGAAGTTGCTAAAGTCGTGTATTGATTTTCACATCATCTGTGTACATCAGTGGGTTTCAAGTCTTTATAAATAACACCAACAGCCCCCTTATCTCTGTGAATGTTTTACGGTTTTAAACGGAAGCCGCACTTTTCAGACGATCCCTCGCACCTTTCAGCACCTGCTGCAGCGATTCCAGCTGCTTTGATCAGACGTACTCGGCAAATGGAAAAATCGAGAGGTTTGACAGGATGTAGTGATTGTGGTTTGTTCTCTGTTTCACCACGACTTAGAAAATGTCATTTCAGAGATTTCAGGACGTTGTTTGTGATCAAGAGGAGTGGCAAAACGCGGATATCCGCTGAAATATCAACCTAAGTTTACCGCTCCGCCCCGCTCCCTTTGTCCCAGTTCAGTGACACCTAAACCAGAGTTCAGTGAGGTTTTCAGGGCTGTGTGAGCTGAACGGTGGAGCCAACAAGTAGTCGAGCTGTCAGTTAGTTTGCTACCATGATGTACAGACATCTTCTCCCGTTGGTAGCTTTGATACTGAGCGGGTCTGAAATGACTCTCAGTGGTAACATACTGGTTCTTCCTGGTGAATTCAGCCATTGGCACAACATGCGCGTAATCATGGATGAGCTGATCGCTCGGAATCACAGTGTGACTGTTCTTATCCATTCAGCGTCACCTTCGATCAACTACTCGCAAAAGGAGAACTTCAAATACATTGTTTTTAAGATCAGCGTGGAAAAACAACACGCAGAGTTCGTGTGGCAGAACTTTATTAACGTTTCGATGAATGAGACGACCACCGGGATTCGGACTTTGTTGTTGTTTTGGAACATAATGTCTGAAATTCAGAGTTATCTCTTATCAATATGTGAGGGAATGATGCTCAATCAGGAGCTCATAGCTTCACTCAGGGAGTTACACTTTGATGTAATGCTGTACGATCCTGTGATGCCATGCAGTGATCTGTTGGCAGAGACCCTCGGCCTCCCCCAGGTGATGTCTAATAGACTGTCTTTGGCATACAGTTTTGAGAGACTGTGCGGTCAGTTGCCAACACCACCGTCGTATGTGCCCGCTGTTGCCACCCAAGGACATCTCACTGACCACATGAACTTCATAGAGCGGGTAGAGAATGTGCTGTTGTATGTTGCTCACACGGCATTGTACAAACTGCAAATGATAACGTTTGATAAACATTACACCAAAATAACAGGTAAGGCAGCACCAAGGCCTCCTTTCTTTAACAGCTAAGTTTGTTTTTACAGATGTCTGCAGTGATTTAAACCTTAATTATTCCACATGTTGTTAAATAGTCTTGAGAAACCATGACCACCAACCGACACCTCAGTGCCCTCATCTGGGTCAACTATAAGAATGACCTAAATATACCTAAATCGTGAAAAGAAAGAACACAAGTGTTTTGCTTCATTTTTACTGAATATGAGAGATCAAGTCTAGTCTTGGACTATACAGCATTGTGGATGAGGGTTATCTACTGAAAGAAAAATGTAGTTCAGGACTAGACTTAATCGCTGTCCAGGAAATCAACCTTTAATATACAAGCCAGTAACCTCAGCTGAAGTCCAGCTCCTGTGCTTGTTAATGACAAAATTGGAGTCTTTTCACACCTAATCACCGTGTTATCTGGCATGGTGTGAACAAAATTTGGTCAGTCCTCATCCTGAACAGCCTCTGAATATAAACTTCAAAGACGAGCAAGATTATCATCATAGATAGATCCTACAGTGTTCTTTGTCCAGTGGTGCTTGCTCTTTTCTGCCTAAATTATTGAAGATCTTAAGTGGTGCTGGAATTTTAAAAGTTTTATCTGGCAAGTTTTTGTATTGGCTCAATTTCTGTGTAAGAACAATGTTTGAAAAACTGATCAGCTCATACTTATGAGCCCCAGGGGTTGTGCAAGTTCATGGACTGACCAGAGGTGATGCATAGCGCAGACAGTCTGGAGAACCTGCACCCACCTCATCACTGGGATTCCGTCTTTGGCGTTGTTTTGTTAGTTTGAGAGTTATTTCAAGGCAGCATGTAAAGGAATTCTGCTTAATCAACAGCTCATAACTTCGCTTATGGAATCACACTTTTATGCATTTCTGTATGATCCCATTATGCTGTGCAGTAATCTATTGGCAGAGACCCTTGGCTTGTCCCAGGTGGTGTCTATTCGACTGTCTGTGGCATACAGTATGGAGAGACTGTGCAGTTGCCAGCACCACTGTCCTATGTGCCCACTGTTGCCACCCAAGGGCATCTCACTGACATGGATTTCATAGAGCAGTTAGAGAACGTGCTGTTATAAGTTGCTCACACAGCAATAATCAAGCTACAACTGATAGTTTGATAAGTATTACACCAGAGTTATGGGTAAGGGAGCACCAAAGCCTTTTGTTTTTGTAATGTTTTACTTTGTGCTCATCACTCATGTTGGTGCTGAAGTTTGAAATTAGGAGCAGAAAAAAATGGCTCCACTTTTAATAACGTTTTATATATAACATTTAAGTAACTATGCAGCAAACTGATCTAGTATCACATCATCTTTGCTCCTTTACTTCACAGGCAAACCCACAACGCTATGTGACACTATGGGAAAAGCAGACATCTGGTTAATCAGAACTTACTGGGACTTTGAGTATCCAAGACCACTCCTGCCGAATTTCAAATTTGTCGGGGGGCTGCACTGCAAGCCTGCAAAGCCACTTCCAAAAGTAAGGTCTCCGTTGTAGCTGTCAGGACGTCTTTTGAACGTTTGCATGCTTGAGTTACACATTAAGAATTGGCACAGAATTGGGAAAATGATTGAATGTATAAAGGTTTAGTGCCTGACCCTAAACCTTACTACAGATTATTACCTCACAGAGTTTATCTGCTGGTACTGCAGAAAGCAAGTAAGCAGTCTGGGATAGATTTTTCTTCAGGAAAATTCTTTCCGGAAACAATTTGTTTGTGCTGACAAACTTTTAACCTAACATAAATGTGAGCTGCTTCACCAACACTTTAGCCACACAGCTAACTTAAGTAGCTTAACCTCGGCCCAGCCTGAGGCTTGGTCTGTGCTGTTGCAGCTGGATGTCAGTATTCTGTTGCATATAAATCAGCTTTTTGAGGAACATGATCAGAAGACTAACATGTATCTGTCTTTGCTTTTTGGTTTTGTAGGAGATGGAGGAGTTTGTTCAGAGCTCAGGAGATGATGGCATTGTGGTGTTTTCCCTGGGCTCCATGGTGAAGAACGTCACCAAACAGAGAGCCAACATCATTGCTTCAGCACTCGGGCAGATCCCACAGAAGGTCTGAGATTACACTCTGAAATGTTTATATCTGCAAAAAGAAAATCAATATTCCAGCTGTCTCAAGGTCTACAAGCCATCTTGATATGAGGCTGGTTCATGTTTAAACTGACTGGTGTTTATTCTCCATAAAAACTAGAAATAGACTAAGGGACCGTTTTACAGAAACTTAAGTCTAAAATCTTATCAGTTAATAGTTCTTAATTTCATCTCAACGTAACTCCAGATAAGAAAGCAGTATTGCAGAAACACCCTAACTGGACTAAATTTCCTAAATACTGTCCTAACTTTAAGATAAACCCCAGAGCTTCTTAACTTCTGTTTTAACCATGTGTTTCTATTGTTTTGTGCCGTGTCAGACAGCATAGTTCACTATAACTGGCATAATGACGCTACGTTTACCTACATTGAAAACTCTGACTTGAATTGTGAGGGTTTTTCTCTCTAACGGCGTTTTAAAACCCCAGACACTGCAGACTCGATCTCCACCATCCCCTCTTATTACCTTTGTGTGTTAATGTTGATGGAAACTCGTCAGATGAAATATTACAGTGATGGTGGTGAATAATGAGGAGACAGAGCTGAACGTGTGTCTGTTTATTAGGAGGAATAACATTAGCGCGCTCGGCTAAAGCGTTTGGGAAATTAAGCTGAAACTGGAGAACAGTGACTCTGATAATCAGCACAAAGCACTGTCACAATATTCTTAACTTTCAGTTTATCGCGGTTCAGTTCTGTTTGGCGTATGGTCGGTTGCTCGGTAACAGACATGACAGTTGATTGTTGACTTCGATTGAGTATATTAAGATTTTCTAACTTAAGATAAGATGCTGTAAGATAAAATTCCTAAATTAAGATTTTATTTGTTTCTGTAATACGTATTTGTGAAAAATCTTATTTTGACCTGTCAGATCACAAGTTAAGACAAAAAGATAGGATGTTTCTGTAATACGGCCCTAGACAAACAACCCTGCAGACATTAGATTTCATAGTACTGTTCTTTGCCCATATCTATAAAATATCTGGTTCTAGTTTAATAGTGTACTCTACAAGTACTGCCACCTTGAATGTTGTAAACAAAGTGCCATCCATAGCACCTGCATGTAGTAAAGTTTATTAATCTTATTTTCTTTATGGAGAAGTTTTTGTGATGGTTTACTTCATTGGTCTTACTAGTTTTTACTTTTTATCATTTCTCAGAATTCTGTATTTAATTACAGGTCTTGTGGCGGTATATGGGAGAGAAACCAGACACTCTTGCCCCAAACACAAGACTCTATGACTGGATTCCCCAGAATGATTTACTAGGTAAGGTACTGTTTTGTCATTTGAATTTGTTTTAGGGCCCAAACAATATGACAATCTTGTCATAGATACCAGTAGTAATTTTAAAGTTGCACTATGCATGATTTCCTTTGTTAAAATTGAAAAAATAGCATTAAGAGGAAGTAAAGAGGAAAAAACACTCTTATATATGGTGTGTGTGCGCTGCTGCGAGTTGCCCTGTAAAGCCTAAAATAGAAATAAAAGTTGGAGGTGTCAGGTCGGATTTTGTGGGGGTCATACGTATTAATGTCACAAACACAGGCTCAAAAAGACAATCCAACTCGATGTTTGGGTCTTAAATGCAAAATCACCATCATACTGTTGAAGATATGATGAGAATAGCAAATAAATCACTCATGTCCTCAGAAGACACACCCTTCTTCAAGGTTTGACTGAGTTCTCTTTGAGTACTTTGAATACAATCATCAGATTTGTTGCTTGATGTTCCAAAATCTTCTTCCGCTGGTCACATGCAATTACACATTTACAAATTACAAACCCCCAAAACCTACATAGTGCAGCTTAAAGTGCAGTTATTATTATTATTATTATTATTATTATTACTACTAAAATAACTGTTGTGATGTAATGCTGATTTGTTCTGTATCGACCAAAATAATGTTGTTTGATAGAAATGAAACAGATTCCAATATTTTCAATCTTTAGTGCCTTACTGACTGATGTGCTTGCCGATTGTCACAAGTCAAATATGATTGTCAGTTCCCAGCTGTCAGTTCTCACTCAATATCTCACATAATCAGCTGGACCAAAGCAGAGGAAATGTTGTAAATAGTATAAATAAAGAACAAGCCATCTAAGCAAACAACATGAACTCTCAATGGTGAACTCTCAAAAGAAAAAAGTTACCTTGGCATCTGATGGTGTGTTTGGTTGTTCAGAATTGTGTTACATTCCTGAATGTTGTTTTTGTAGAAAACATTCAAACAGATGTCATCACAGATTCTAGCAAATCCATGGAACCTTAATATATACTGTTTTTTTGGTCTTGTATATACTATACCAGTTTGTTGTAGTGATGATTTCTAATGATTTGTCTCTGATAGGACATCCTAAAACCAAGGCCTTCATCACTCATGGTGGGACTAATGGTCTTTATGAAGCTATTTATCATGCTGTCCCAATGGTGGGCATTCCACTGTTTGGTGACCAGTCAGATAATCTGTTCCACATGAAAACTAAAGGAGCAGCTGTTATGCTTGAATTCAACAAAATGGAGACCAAAGACCTGAAGGACGCTCTCACTGAAGTTATTAACAATCCATCGTAAGTTGATCTTGTATTTCCCTTAAATGCAGATGCTCTAAGATTATTTTAAGGGTGCTCAGTGTAAACTTAAAAGTACTGTAACTCCCTCATGTTGAGGCAAATGAAATGACATTCTATGGCAAAAATTGAAAAATGCCATGAAATGGGAAAAATGAACAGCGGTTTAAGGCTATAAAACTCCTTTAGCACTATTTATGAACTCTTTATTTTAATCTCCTCAGCAATACAGTATATGTTTAACCCCATTTTTGATTGGCAAACTTGTATGCAAAATTTTGGGCCACCATGCTTAACTGACATTTTGTTGATTTAGTTAACTAACTTCTGCACATTTTACTGCATGATCACTAGTTATTTGCTGAATGTAACATAAAATAAATAATGTAACAAATAATAAACATGGCCTGTGCAAAAGTAAAGACACTTAAATTTATTGTATTTGGTTTTGTTGGCAATATGCTAACCTCAGTGAATAAATAGAAATTAAAAAATAAAATAAAAAATCCCATATTTTAGTTTGTTTTTTTCACAGGCCGCATTTATTTTATTCTTAATGTTAAATTCAGCAAATAGCTTGTCTCCTGTTTTTTTAAAGAAAGTGTTTCGACAGCATAAATAACTTGGCTTTTAACTGGTGCAAAAAGCTTAATACCTCTCTGTTTACTTCACATACAAAATTTTACTTAATTTCTTCTGTCAGGTACAAAGAGAGCATCATGAGGCTTTCCCGAATCCACCATGATCAGCCGATGAAGCCGCTGGACAAGGCTGTCTTCTGGATTGAGTTTGTGATGCGCAACAAGGGGGCCAAGCACCTGAGGGTGGCGGCCCATGACCTCACTTGGTACCAGTACCACTGCCTGGACGTCGCTGCCTTTTTGCTGTCCATAGTCGCTCTGGTCACGTTCATCTTTGTGAAAACGTGTGCTTGGCTCTTCCGTAAATGTTACAGAAGGACCTCAGCAAAGAGCAAAAAAGAGTGAAGAACTGAATGAACATCACTGTGTTAATGACTACTGTGATATTTTCACATTGGTTTAAAGTCTGAAGTACTGTATTGTACTGTAAATGTACAGCAAACCTGCCTCAAGTTTTTTGCTACTTAACCCTAGGTTCTCACTGATTTCAACATAAGTAATCAAACACGTTTTACAAATCATTTTCACTGTTCTCGACAGCACTCAAAGGGATTTTATTCATATCTTGTACAGTGTTTTCTTTTGAATAACATGAAATTTTGATTATGCAAATGTCAAATCAACTTATTTTTTTAGATTATTTGGGGCATTCTGTGCATATATAACTGATCCAGTGAAAGTGTCTGCTCTGTTTTATGTATTTTAATAGATAGACTGAATTGTAATGTGATTTTGCTGCAGAGTTGAAACTTGAATGATGACAAAAACTGACGAAACAGAACAAAATATGACCACAATGCAATTTTAAATGAGAGGAATTATAGATGTAGAAGAATCATAGAATCAAGAATCAAAGAATTTTAGCGTAATACATGAGTAATGAAAAAAGACTAATAAAGAAAATACATATAAATGGTTTTCGTCTTTTAACGTTACAATAGAAATTGTCTCAGATATTTTGAGCTAATTTGATCATTGTTGGCTGTCTGTGAGTGAAATGTTGGGACTTTTGTGTTGAGCTGTGAGTGAGCAATGAGGGGTGACTGGGGAGGACCCTCTGCTGTGAAAACAATTCACACCTCTTCACAAAGACTACTGTACCGAGATAAAACAGACAACCGTAGCTTTTATAAAATAACTGTTTACAACTGTGTGATGATGATGACTGTCAGTGGTGAGCTAATTCTCTGTTCCTTTACCTTACTCAGAATTGCCATCTAAAGTTAAATGAGCATAAACTACATCCATTTTATCATTTAATATATTATTAATGCTGGTTATGTTTTCTGATAAGGAGTTCCACCTTAAATGGTGCCTGAATGCTTCAGTGGCCTGAGGCACCAGAATGTAAATGCTCCACCATTTAAGGTGGAACGTTTAAAAAAGGTGAAAAGTTTGGAAAAGAAGCTGGAGAATAAGATGCTTCGTGTGATTTAAGCTATTAAAATATCCTACCTGCAGTTTAATGTAGAGCTCTACATGTAAATATGGGCTGCGGTTGGACATTTTGACAAGGCAGTACAATTCGTCTGGACACTGGTTAGTGCTGAACCGACAAAAAAACAGACATGCAGTCTGCTGCAGCTTTGACCTTCTTTCTGTTCTAATTTTAGGTAGTTTTTGTTTTACACTTTTTCAATGAAAATCTTTAATAAAATTTACATATTAAATAATATAATAGTGAGTAAACCAACATCTTTTGAAAACTACCTGTAGTTTTATTGGCTGTCGCTGCAAACACGTGAATTCATGAGCTCCTTCAGGTGGAGGTTCGTGGCAACTTGTATGCACTCCCTGCTGGAAAAAGTTCAGGCTGCAAGCTGTTTCCAAAACCATTTTAAAAAAACACAACGTGTTTTCAATCATTGCTGCAAGTCACTCTGGGGTTCGGCTATAAATGCCTTTGGTAGTATTTTAATTTCCCAATTATAATGTAGTATTATAATTTCATAGTTTGCAGAGTTTTCATAACTCAACTAAGCACCGGGACGCTTAACTTGTACGGGAAATACTGCAAATTTGACTCACACGGTAAGATTAAGTCAAACACAGCAGAGACAGTGGGGGATTTACTCTAATGTTGCTTTAAGGCTTTTAAACATCCCATAAAAACCCTGTAAAATTAATTAAAACATTGTGTATGCATTTTTAAATATTATTTATTACCGTTTTGTGATCCTGTTTTTCCGGCTGTAGACACGGCCGCAAAAAGGAGGAGAGAAACTTTTTCTCCAGATTAGAGTTAATTTAGCAGCTCTAGGGTAAAACCCAGTCAGTTTAGCTTGGTTGTTTTAGTGCAGTTAGTCACAGTGAAGCAAGCTGAAGTTCCAAAGCATCTGCATTTATTTTTGGTTTCATGCACTTCAGCTAAACTTAATGTAAAGTAAAATAAGTAGAAGGTGAAGAGCTGTGGGTTATGTAAAACTGGCATTACAGTGAGATAACTAACGGGCAGCTTCTTGACAATCTCTCCCTATCTGCATCGCCTTCAGGTTACTTGTATTACTTGTACAGTGAGTCATGTTTGTACTTGTATATCTGATTACATCACCCAGGCCTAAATGAACTTCACTTGTCTCAGAATCGATACTAACATTTACTCTCCCAGCTTACTAGCACTGAATTAGGACATCTGGCTATCAGAAAATTTGGGTAAAAATGTCAACAAAAGTAAAAGAAATTAATGTGCTAATCGACCACATGCTGCAAACATGGCAGAGATCAGGATGTAAAACAGTGGAGTATTCCCAGAGAAAATTATGTTACTGATTACATTAGTGCTGTATATATGTTATCAATCCTGATCTGTAGCGCTGTCATGATAACAGTGCCAAGGTGACATGATTTTGAAATTGACTAGTTTAAACTGTACAGAGATGTGTGTGGCTGTCCAGTATGTGTGCGTGCATTGAGTGTCCGTTGAGAATGAGTGCAATATAACTACCAAACTGACTTTACTACTGACATTTCATTTTGTTTTTAACCATTAAAATCTTCTGTATATGACTGAACAAGTTCTATGACTTCCTCAAGTGATTTCCAACATAAGTCCAATAGTTTTTCTTCCTGCTTTCAGACTCAATACAATCCTACTCTTCAAGATCTTCAAGTATCTGCCCCAAAAGTTGTATACACACTTAAGAAAGATGGTTCTTTAAGGGTTCTTAAAGAATAAAGAAAATGTTTCTAAATAGAACCATGAACACTCAAAGAACCCTCTGCAGGTTTAAAGAGTTTTTTGCATTGTGAAAGTGTTCTTTAGCTTGATGGAGAATGGAGAACCCTTTTTCAAAAGGGTCCCGTATAGCAACAAAAGCGATTTTTCTATTGTTACAGACTTGACATCAAAACACTAGCAGAACCCTTCTTGGTGCAAATAAGCTTTTTATCATTCCAAAGCGTTCTTTGAGTGTTCATGGCTCTAGATCGAACTCTTTACTAAAAAAAACTTGAAGAGCCATCTAGTGTTTCAAAAGTTGCTCCCACCTTCAAGATACATCATCAGAAGAGGGTTCTCCTAGTCTTTAAAGTGGAAAATCTCACTCTGGACACTACTGTGGCCCAGCTGTAGGAGGTGAGTAGGTATGTGCAAAATAGATAAAGCAATGGCTATTTTTTTCATTTTGGCCAGACTGCCCCTTTAAGGTGAGGTGGGTTTATTGCATAGAGGCAAATGCATGTAAATAAAAGAAAATGCATTTATCAAGACATGTTAAGTTTCGCCGTTAGAAGGTGGCAGTGAGTAATGTTTGTTTATTTGATGGTCATCAAAAACACCTTTAGAGGCCAGTAGTCAGTAGCCAGTAGTCCCAGGGAACCTAAAGCTGTATTTTCTTTCTAATTATGCAAATGTAATCCTCGCAGGCAAAAAGTAAACACGTACTAAGTACACCCTTTAAATAATGTTCCATTGACCAATAAATGACCGATATATTTCACCATATTTCTCATCTCAGTGTAAACTGGGTGGTCCTAATCATAGTAACGCTTACGTAAGCATTCCCTTACCAATCATAAGGCTGAAGTCTCTTGCCCCGCCCTCACAAAACAAAAACAAAACAAAAAGCAAGCTAAAGCTAACCCAGCATAACCAAAAGCTAGCAAGCTAGACCAGCTTTCCATACCTCGGAGGAAAAATCAGCCAATTTGGGGACTTGCATTTTAATTGTATTTGTTTTATACTGTGAATTAAAAATCAATTAAATTGTTGATTATGATTGAATGGCAATTAATTGTCAGCTAAACTTTTATGACTGTGACAAAGCACATAAGTATAAACACATTAAAATATGTCTTGTTTTGAAGAGTTATATATACATTTTATGTTATGTATTATAGAGCAATCTTGGGTCTGAGAAAGGTGCTGTAAAAATAAAGATTGTTATTGTTACTATTATTATTACTATTATTATTGTTGTTTGGCTGCTTCTGTGCATGCTTTATTATGGTGCTACAGCAGTGACTATTTAACAAAACAGGTTGATCAGTGTGGCTTGTACCCTTTCAGCCGGCCACTCCTTGCTATAATAAAATGAAAAGTGTATTTACAGGGGAATTCCACCAGCGTTTTAAAATTTCGTCATAATTCAGTCAGATGAGATTTAGAGTGGTTTTATGTGAACCACTTCATTGTGTACAAACTTACAGACTCAGACTTCTTTACAGTGGTGATAGGAACCAGGGGCGAACCAATGCAATTTCTAAGTTTTTATATGTAATGTAATGATGATGATAGAATAGTGGTAAATCTGAGAATCATTTCTTTGAAGACTACTTTGCCTTATAAAACCATACATGTACCTCTCCATCTTGAATTAATTTAAAAATACATATTAGAGACGGTCCTAAAACAATGTCTCAGACATCAGGTAGCAGATCTGTAAACATTTCATGTAATAACTTTCGGTGAGGGGGTGTTTAGAGGCATTAAACTATTCAGACATCTGGTTCCTGTCTCCACCACAGTGAATAATTCTGACTCAGTAAGTTTCTCTAGAACAGAGCATTTCACACCAAACCACTCTGAATACATCATCACAATTGGATTTTGCAGAAAATTTGAAAGTTGGTGGAATTCCCCTTTAATGCGAATGTGCTAGTTCATAGTCCAGAAACTCACAATGATAAGACTTGAGTCATAGTGTGCTTGAGTAGTGCTACAGTCAAAGTCTAAAGGTTTATTCAAACTGGCACAAATATAATAAAGTTTCAATACAATAAAATTTTGATGTCATATTCTAAGGATTCCACAAGTTGGCACATCATTAGTACCTTCATTATACAGCAAAACAAACAGCTTTCTATGTGTTTCAGGACAGAAAAGAAAGGATATTAAAATGTTATGCTGTAAGAAAGGAACTCTCAGCTGCACACGGTAAATGATAACTGTTGAAAAGTAACCACTTAAAGTACAGACAGGAACTCTTCAAGGCTGTCTGAGCTTCTTTCAAAGGACTTGCATGTGTTGTGCACAAGAACGCTCTGTATCTGTGTTTATAACAGTGGATTACAGCTCCTGCTAATAACCAGCGAGCTGTAAATGTATCTCCAGTCACATTAATTAAAAGCATTAGTTAAAACTGACTGATGAATGATGCGATATTGATAAAGTGGGACACATTTAACACTTTTCAAAGGGGAATTTCACTGTTTTTTCAAAATGTATAATTACATAATTCAGTCACTGAGATGAACAAAGCCATTCAGGGTAGTTAGATGTAAAATGGTTCATTGTAGATTTCTTTACAGTGGTGCTGATAGGAACCAGGGGTCACAATGTCTACAACACAAATATAGCCATTTTATTTACTATCCAAAACCACCACCGGCACCTACACAGAGAAGGTATTATTAGGGTGGTGGATCATTCTCAGCACTGCAGTGACACTGATGTGGTGGTGGTGTGTTAGTGTG